TAAATAAATAAATAAATAAATAAATAAATAAATAAATAAACAAACAGAGTAATGAAGGAGAGAGAGAAAAAAAGGAAGGAAAGAAGGAGAAAAAAGAAAGAAAGAAAAGAAGGAAGGGAGGGAGGGAAAGAAAGAGAGAAAGTAAGGAAGAAAGAGGAAAGAGGGAAGGAAAGATAGAAAATAAGGAAGGAGGAAGGAGAGAGAGAGAAAGGATGGAAGGAAAGAAAGAAGGAGAGAGAGAAAGAAAGAAGAAAGAAAACAAGAAAGAAAGAAAGAAAGAAAGAAAGAAAGAGAAAAAAAGAAAGACAAGGAAGGGTCTTTTATAAACTAAGATGCAAACAATGAATGGAAAGCTCCAGAAGGTTCTTAGTTACTTGCATTCTTTTGAACGTAACTTATAAAAGATGTTAAGCTAAAGGAAAACAGTGATCTCTGTAAAATGATTCATATTATTCTGAATTTCTTAGCCAATTAGGAGGTTGCTAGCACTTCAAGGCTGGGCTACTTTTTCCCATCACCATTCTAGGATTTGTCTCTTCAAAAATATCTGCTGTAGATTGTCCAGATAAGAGGTTTGCAGGCAAAGAGGCCTTGAGGGGTATTAACACTACTATATAGAATGCCTTTCATTCTAGTTAATTCCTTCTTAAATTCCTGCTTAACATGATCAGCAGAGGAAGTTCATGAAGAATGACTCAAACAGCCTCTCTTCCTAGCATGCATAGTTCTCTCAGAGGGGTGAGAGAGACAGCTAAAAATGTGACCTAGAAGCCACATCTCTCAACTCTTTCAAAAAGTAATCAATCTCCAGATTGCCATATTATCATATTTATTTCCATAGATAAAACTGTTTTCCCCTTTATTGGACTGTATTGATCATAAGATTAGATCAGGAGACTTCTAATCCATCCATCCATCCATCCATCCATCCATCCATCCATCCATCCATCCATCCATAAATGGCTGTATGTGTGTGTTTTTGTGTGTATTGTCCAGCATAACTCTGGAACACCTTGAGCAATTTCCTTGCTACACAGATGATTTACTCAATGGAAACAAATGCTGTGGGGGTAATACACCTCTAATACCCCTCGGGGTATGTATGGGTATGTCCGGGTGGGTGTGCTACAGCATAACTCTGGAATGCCTGGGCTGCCAAAATGAAAAGGACTGAATTATATCCATAGTGTCAAGTCACAGTACTTTTGACAGTGATAGTGTGCATTTTGGATTCACGTTCTGTTAAGATACAGGCTGTTGTGCCTTCAAATGACTTTCACTATACAGCACAGTGGAGTTGCCATGGTAACGGCTTCACAGTACTCCACAAGGGGGCTCCCTCTAATACAGGATTGGGATAAATCCATATCCGGGCAACACTGGGTCATCAGCTAGTCTCTTATAGACTTTGATTCTGTCTTGGGTCTTTTAAGCATTTGATGCAAACCACGCAGTGAACAGTCTGCCAACAGAAATGGTCTCCACACTTCAGTATGGAACCACACCTACCTCTTTTACATCAATTTGACTGAAAGCAACCTGAATAGAATCCCAGGTGCCTGATATTTCTACCATTTCCCTTGGCACCTATCAGTCTCCAGGCCTCACTAGATTTATCTGACTTTACATAATTTGGATATTTTAACTACCGTAGGGAATATTTCCTCAATGTGGAATTTCTGTGAGTTTGTGAAGGGAGATGGCTGCTGAGGGAGAAGTTCCCACAAAAGATCGAAATGGAGGCCCAGCTGGGAAGGGAAACCTCATCTCCAGCAGTTCTCTGTTTTGGAATCCTCTCACTCTAGATATGCCTCAATATCCTTACAGGTCTTCTGCAGGACCATCAGTAGTGTACTGCTCAACTATCCCTCAGTGACTGATTCTTGACGTTGGGTTTGGAGTAAACATCTTGTATTGTCTACAGTTGCTGACCACTTCATTAGCTTGCTTTACAAATGGATGTTTTCCAGTGAATGACCAAAATGTCTACTTTCTGTCCTGTCCTATACATACCTACATACCTACATACATATAAAATATAATATAAAATACATTCTATTTTATTTCTACATTATATTCTGTTCTGTTCAAATCTATCCTATTGTATTGTGTTGTGTTGCATTGCATTGTATTGTGTTGCGTTCTACTCTACTCCACTCCACTCCATTCAATTCCACTCCATTCCATTCTTATTCCATATTCTGTTCTGTTCCATTCTATTCCCTCTACAAAAGTTGTTGTGGCCAAGAACAATAATAGCCTAGTAGATCTGTGGCTGAAATGACAGAGACTCAACCAATTTACATAAACTATGGCTTTAAGAAAAAAAAATAGAGCCATAATTATCATTACAATACACATATTTATGAAGGGGCCCCCATAAGTATGTAATCAGTATTAGAACATGCAAATATTGCATTCATTAACACCGATTAACGGTTCAATTGCTGTTACTTCTCTCATCCTTGGAGGCCTCACAGTTTCGTGGCTAGAGTTTTGCAATCCCGATAATATCTCAAAAACCTGGACTGACAGTTTCAGATCCGGGCCAATGCCACACTCAGAATGAAACCGAGCATGCACTCTTCCTCAGCTTCTTCTGCACGCTACTAGCCTTTGCAAGAAAGATATATGTGTGCATATATCCAAGGATAGAGGAAAATTTCAAAAGTTCAACTGGTTTGAATGAGCAAAACACAACCTGTAAGTACCAAAGTAGCCACACGCCAGCTGTCTTTCCCAGCACCAAATAGCACCCAACTGTCTGAAATGCTGTTCTGGTGCCTACTTACTTGAGCGTTGAGTCTAATCCTGCTAAGGAAATCAAGAATTCAGGATGCACAAACCTCTGGATTGCCTTGTTTCATTGCATCCCATCTTCCACTAGAGGTCAGCCTTCTCCAGAATCAAAAAAAAAAACAAAAAAACAAACCCCAGCCGGATTCCTTCTTCCCGAATAAAATTGGCTGTTATTTCCACTTTTTTTTTGAGTTTCTTAACAAAGATTCCTTCAGAGCCACAAACTACAGCCTCACACCTCTTTCCCTCCCTCTTGTTTTAGAGGAAAAGAGACCAAAGCATCCTGCTTATGAAAGAACCACTGTAAACCTTCTGGCTAAGGAGGGAAAAGGAGACCAGGGTATTTACTGCCTGCGTCTAAAACCACATTTGACATTCTTTCATGGGGCTGCCACAGAAAGATGGACCGGGCAGCTGGCAGAGTCTCCCCCCCCCCCTCGTACACACACACACCTTTGTTTTCAAAAGGATATTTGGTTCTTGTTGAGCATCAAGGTATGAAGGTGTGGCAAGCTGGGTAAGTGGAGGTCACTTTGGAGAAGATTGTTGTCCAGAATGAGCTCTTCCAAGCTGCTGAAAGCCTGCAGTCCTTCCAGGGATCTGTAATAAGAAAGGGGGGAAATGACCCTCCAATGCAGGGGTGTCAACTCTAAGCCCGGGGTCCGGATCCAGCCTATGGAGTGCTTAGATCTGGCCACCTTGTAAACAGTGATGTACCAGCCTGCGGTGCTTCTGCCAGTGAAAACGGGCTCCCGAGCTCTGTTTTCGGCTGCCACAGCCTCCTGCAATCCTCTGTCAGTGGAAATGGAGCTCGCACGCGGCCCTCCCATTTTCACTGACAAAGGGTTGCAGGAGCCCATGGCAGCTGAAAACGGAGCTTGGGAGCCCATTTTTGCTGGCAGAAGCACTCTGGGCCGGTCCTTTGCTGTTTCTACTGGCAGATCACTCGGGTGACCAGTGGCGCCCCTGACAAGAGTGACGCTGAGCTGGGCATGCACACCCTGGCCACGCCCCCCTCCCTTCTGAGGTAAAACACAACCCTGATGAGGCCCTCAATGAAATCGAGTTTGACACCCCTGCTCTAGTCAATCCAAGAGCCTGATGATGAGCTGAAATACGAATTTTAACCTCCCCTTTGAAATGAACCCGGAAGCACTTGGGTTTCTGTCCTGTCAGGAGGGCAAGAATGACAAGAATTAGTGGGAAAGGGAGCGCCAAGGCAGCAACCCATCGCTCACTTCCTGTCAGCATGAAAGATGGAGGTCGCTTAGTGAATAGCCAAGATCCCAAACAAAAAAAGGTTCAGATATGAGCCCTGCAGGATGAATTTGTCAACGTCTCGTGCCTTCAGGCACCCCAGCCCCGCCTGACCCCCAACCTTCATTCCCAAGACAAATAACTCTGTCACACTTCACCTTCATTCTCAGGACACAAATTTAAGTTGTCATCCATCATTCCTGCCATGAAATATCATACCCACTAACAATAATAAATTCAACTTCAGGAATTGTTCTCAGCAGCATTTCTCTCTCTTTAGAAATACACAGGCACTCACTCGCACCCCCCCCCCAGCCTTTTCTGCTAGCTTTTCAAAAGCACAAAAGAGAGTCAGTGTCGGAGAGCAGTGCAGAATTACTTCACACCACGTAACAAATAACAAATAATTTGTTTGCCTAATAAATAATTACATGCACCCTCACTCACACCAACCTAGATAGACATAACCCCTATTGAAAGAAGCAGGCAAAAAATTTTTTTCCAACTATGGCAACACAACTTTCAAGGTTGTAAACAAAGGAGACTTGTAAATAAACAAAGCAGTCTGGGTAGATTCAAGGCAGGGCGTAAACCAGGGTTTGATGCTTTGCAAGGATGATGATGATGATTTCGGCATTAACTCGTCATTTTGTGGCTTTGCAAGTTCGCACAGGCCGCGTGGGAGACGCACCACATCAATCAAATAAGAATCAGCATGTTATATGAAGCATGCACATCAACACACATTTGCAGCTTGTTCGCCTACCCAACACCTAGATCTGCTGTGAGGGCTTGACATGACAGCTGAGCTCATCTGCCTACCAGGAAGGAGAATTGCCACTTAATCTCTGTCTCACTGTTTTATAGACTGTGATGGCTAAAGAAGATGGAGGAGGCGACTATTTATTCACTGCCCAGTGACATTATTTCCTCTCTTCAGCATCCTTCAGCATGGCCTATAGAAGACATTTTCTATTAGGAGTATACAAAGGGAGACCTCCAACCACAGTGGTGCCTCCCATTGTTCTGACCCAGTCTTAGCAGAAGCAAGAAACAGACTCCTCACCAATAAAAACCCCTCTTTATTTACCGCTTGTGAATTAATTGCATTCACCCATCGAAAGTCCAGGAAAGAGTCCTGCAAGGAGTTAACTGCAGCAGCAGACCTTATCAGTTCCTTACTATAAGTGCAAGGCCGTGCCTTCCCAGCCTAAAGGCTGCAAATTAGGTTCTGGCAAGCAGTTATGAACCACAATAAACAAAATCTTCAGAAATACGAACTGTTGTCTCCTATGATCACCACTCCCCTTTCCTTCTATTTATTCC